GAAACAGTCAACTTTCTAAGAATGAGCCTTGAAATATTAAAGTATCCTTTTAGTTTCATGAGCTTGGCTTGAGGGCCAGCCAGTTCTGAGAATATTCTGCTGCTACTGCCCCACAATTCCCCAGCAGTCATGGGTGCTGGGGGCGAGAGTGTCTCACAGCCCAAGGGTCAGAGTGGACCTTCCCAAACCTGCAGAGTGTCCCCACAGTAAAAGTTGCCTTTGAGTTCATTCTGACTCGTGACAACCCCCTGTGTGTCTAAGTAGATCCTTGCTTCAGAGTTTTCTATGGCTAATTTTTTTTGCAAAATCAAAGGGGCTTCAAAGGGTTTGTGGGACAATTCCATTACCTTTACATTCCATTTTTTCATGAATTTTTTTAAGCCCCCTTGTGGAGCACCAGGTGTTTCTCCTAAAACACCTTTCAGGGACTCGAGCTCCCACCCTTTCAAATAACCGCCGAGGTCTATAATCTTTTGTACCACTCGTGGGGAAATCAGGACAAAGGTAAACTACCTCTTTTGCCACCACTGACAATGAGTAATCAGAGGACTTGCAGATCCAGAGAGAAACTGCCCCGCGCACAATTGCCTGTAGCAAAAAAGCAGACCCATTCCTTCCGCTGAAACCCGGGCGTCACCTGGGGCACTGGAGGAATTTTTGAAGCATGATGCATAGTGACATTGAGAAGACACATATAAACCCCAAACCCGAGCACACATTTATCCAGTTTGTGAAGCGGATTAATAGACTAACCAATAAAACATGTATAAAAGCTTTAATTAAGTCTGATGAAATAAAACTTCATGTTTTATTTATGGACGCTTCCAACATGTAAAGGATATGAAGAGATACTCATTTTCACTGTCGGCCTCTATCTGTAATCCAGTCCAGGCTGCTGCTCTGGCCCAAAGCGGTGCGGCATTTGAAAGCTGGTCTTGGCCAGCGCCCCCCCACCCATCTGCTTTTAATTAGAATGACCCCTCCCCAATGTGCAAGAGGCCGATGGCAAAACAAAACAAATAATAGAGCAAACAAACCAAGAACAGTGCTGCCGTTGGGTTTAGAACTACGGTCCGGTGGAGGTGGTCAGGCCCTCAGGTTCCAGTTGTGTCTTAGGCACAGTCCCCTTCATTTAATTTTACATTACAGAAAAAAAAAAGGACTTTAGGAAACAAGACAAAATAACTTATGATTATATGAAACATAACTGTGACAAATCACAAAACTATACATATTAATAGAAAAAAAGTGTACCTAATTCTCTAAAAGATTTATGACAATCAGCACCAGATGTACCCCAGGAGTAAAATAGGCCTCGTATCCAGCATGATAGATGCAGCGCATTGCTCTATGTGAGTGTCTAGAAGTATGTACAAGTATGTCTGCGTGATTTATAGAAAACAGATTTCTCCTACCCCCAAAGTGCTTTACATGAACAACATAACACAGAACGCTTTGCTGTCAGTACAAAATAAATCTCTTCTTTTCCACACTCACCATTTCTCCAATGAATGATTTTTTTTTGCTTTATCTGTTGCAGAAATAAAATAAAAATTCAAAAGGAACTGCAGAAATTCCAAAAAGTGCCATTAAAAAAAAAAAATGCTGCTATAAAACGACATGGTCATAACAACCAGATATAAAACCGAATAATTCGATTGAACATTTATAGTCACTCAACCCAATATCTTAGGGCAACTGGAAAGGAATTGGGAAAAGCCAAAAACCATCTCCACCACCACTGAGTCGGGTGTAAATCATCATAGGAGCAGTCGGCCTCATCCTTCTCCAGTGGAGTGGATGATGGGTTTGAACTGCTGACCTTCAGTTAACAAACAGCCCAGTGTTTAGTCCGCAGCGCTACCAGGGCTTCTGGAATTGGGGCTGTTGGTGGAGGTGTTATGTGCCGTCAAGTCAGTCCTGACTTATAGCGACAGGGTTCCATGGAGTGGCTGTTGAATTTGAACCTCTGGCCTTGTGGTTAGCAGTCCATTGCTCATCCTACACCAGGGCGTTTAGTATGAACCCCTGTTCAAAACTGGGATTAGTAAACAAATGTGCTTAAGGACTGGTAACTTAGAACCAACCACTCCTTTATTGCCAACACAAACTGTTATGATACACTAAGGACACCCCCACCACCACACAATTTGAGAGCCAACTATGTTAATTTGGGGGAGACATGGCTAAAGGGAGATTCCCCAAAGGACTAGTAAATATTCAAATAATATTGATTAGCTTATCAGCGGCTAAACTACATTGGACACTGAAGCAGGCCCTTTAGGGAATTCAGATCAAAGAGCAAATGACTGTTTTTTTCATTTTATTTTTCCGTGTAATAGGATCATTGGCTTTGGGCTGTATGTGTCTTCAAGGCACCAGTTTGTGTGTTTTAAAGGTGGGGAATGACAATCCCAATCAGATATTTATTAGTATAGTTTACACATTAAAACTAAAGAGAACATGAAATGGAAGGGACTTTTTTTTCTTTTTTCAAAGTTTCCACTCTTCCAGCTATCAAAATAATTGATGGATCCTGTACAATATGAAAGTAAAGCAAGGAGTGATTTTAAAGGCCAGAAGAGTCTAGAATCAAAGGACGTGTCACACCCCCAAGGCCCTGATTTCACACCTGCAGCCCGGAGAGGTGGATGAGGACCATGGAGCCTTGACCTTACTGGGCCCAGATCCTTGGATCCGCTTCCCATAAGAGGAGACCCTCAGGGTGGGAATTCCTGCAGTATGGGGTGCTATCACCAATTCACCTCACTTTAGCTCCCTGCAGCGGTGGGAAGCTCAAAAGAGTTAGGGTCTCTGAGAGAGGATCTCCCAGATCCTATTTGAGACCATCAACCACAATCTCAGCCTGGCCTTTGAGTGACTTGTCTCCTGACACAAATGAAATCTATTTTGACTGTGCCCCTCAGGCTTCAGAATTTGAGACCAGACACTGCCTGTCTCCTGACAACTGAGTATTTTCTTCCCCTCCAGGGTGTGATGAAGGACACAGGGGGAGTGCTAATGGCTGAGCCAATGTCAGCAGATGAACCCTTGTTTCATCAAATGGCAGGACCTGCGAGGGTGCTGGAAGATGGGATCCTCCTCAGCAAAGGCTTCCTTTGTACAACCCTTCCTCAAGCAGAACAGGTGTTTGTAAAGGGAGTAGCCCCTCTCTTCTGTAAACTTGGGTGTTTGTATTGTGGGATCTTTCTCAAAGCTGGGCCCCCTCCTCAGAATCTGACCAAGTGCACTGTAAAAGTACAACCACATTTAGTTCTCTATTCAAGATGGCCAAACTTTGTCTCTCAGACTTCGGACATATTGTCAGGAGGGAGCAGTCGCTGGAGAAGGATATCATGTTTGGTAAGGTGGAAGGTCAGAGAAAAAGAGGAAGACCCCCAGCAAGATGGATTGGCATCGATGGACTCAAGCGTAGCAACAATAGTGAGGTTGGCCCAGGATCGGGTAGTGTTTCGTTCTGCTGTGCATAAGGTCGCTGTGGGTCAGCACCAACTTGATGGCACCTAACAACAACAACAACAACAATCTATCTTCTACTGCAGGGATGATTCTGGTGAAACCCCCCTGGAAGGACCAGTCTGCCATGATATAAATTCTCAGGGCATCTTAAATTTGACCCTAAGATGTTTAATCGTCTCCCGGAAGGCTGTAACGATCTCAGATTGACAAATAGTATTATTTCAGTTTTGGTCACAAAATATCTTTAAAAACAGAGATTAAGAACGGAAGCCCTGGAGTATTAAACTGTCAGATCTTTGGGGTTTGTCTAGTTTCTATAGCCTATTGGACAGGCTTTAAGGTTTTGTGAGTAGCTTTCTAAAAGAGTCACCACAGACAGCTTCCCATTCAGGCTTGGCATCAAGTGGTCGAATGCTCTGTGGAATTCCAAAAATGGGTTGCTACCCTTCGACTCACCTTTCTATAACTCCCCCTCTACCTGTCTTAGGTCAGCTTCTCAAGAATTGATGGTTAGGCAGAGTCAAAGGATATGGAAAGAGGGAAAGGGAAGAATAGGGGACAGACAGGCAGACAGAAAGACAGACAGGTGAGCATCTATCAGAAAGAGGTGAGAAGAGGTTTGCAAACAACTGAACATCTGACTCCTTCGCAAATTCCCCTGATACACAACTCATGGTATGCCTGTTCTAGAATGTTCTGGAACATCTCTGGGCAGAGCGCCAGAGCAGATACAACAGGTGAAAGAGGCAGGGAACCTTTCCTTTCAACATGGCCTTCAACTTGGAGTTGCTCAACAGACCACACACAAGAGTTTCTGTTAACCCTGGGGAGGGGTAGTGCGCCACCCCCGATTCCCCTCAGGGAAGCTTTGCTCACTGCACAACTAACATGCTAGGAGAGTTCACACCTACTGCAAGGTGGGGCCAGGCAGAAACCACAGCTATGGTGCAATGGATGCAACTGGGGAGATCAAAATAATTATTACTCCCCTCCAAAGAACTCTAAGCATTTGCAGTTCTCTTTTTCCAAGGCACATAAATATCAAGTCTTTATAAAATGAAAGAAATAGGCTAGGTTGCTGGAATATACAAGTTGCAGTGCCTTTCAGGGACTGTGCTTGACAGACCTTCTTGGAGAAACACTGAGAAGTGAGTGGTTGAGTTGAGCCCACACTGTGCTTTGGACATGGAGTTCCCTCGTGCCTGGGTTTCACTAGGCCAGCAGTGAGGGAGAGTGTTTGGGGTGTCCTTCCCTATTGGGACTTTCCAGTGAGGTTGATCCCTAATGACATCATCATAAGCACATCATTTCATTGGTGTCCTTAGAGGGTTGATGGTCAAGAAGTAACAGATATCCGGTAGAGCAATACTCCAAATTCCCTTTGGAGAGAAAGCCATGCTTGGTCACCTTGTCCAGCCAACTCAGAGAGAAAAAAGGACGATCTCAAACTTCCCTGTCAAGTCCAGCTCCAACCATTCAGTCCTGCCTTCCTAAGGCACAATAATGGCTTTGCATGTGCTGCTGATGTGGATGGCATCCTTCTTCAAGGAGTCTGGAAGAGTACAGAAACAAAAGGTGGCAAGTGACAGGAAGGTGCCGGATGCACAGAAAAGGCCAGGGGAGCTTTTAGCTTTCCGTATATACTGAGGAGAGCTGGCTAGGACAGCGGTCCACCGCGCTGATCTGCAAGAATGTGGGGTCTTCAGGCCCACTGCGGAGGGACTCTGCAAAGAGGCTTGAGGAACCCGAAGGTAAGTCATACACTGGAAGAGATAAAAAAAGACAGGAAGTTAGACTTCCACAATGCATCACACCCCACTGGGCCAACAATGGCTGCAATGTACCCACCATATGTGGACTGGGGGCCAATTGTGTTCTTCAGAGGGTCTCAGTTCTCCAAGATGTTAGTGGAACGTGAGCCTGCCTTGTATGTATGTGGCTGGCTCAAATAGGTAGGGATACAAGATATGGGCTGAGTGTTCTACTGAAGAATGGGGGTGGCCTCAAATGGAGAGGATAGTCAGGTTGAGTCTTAAAAGAGGGCGGTATTCCCGCAGATGGAGAGATAGGGAAAGAACATTCCGAAGGGAGGAAAACAGGAAGTAATGACAGAAAGGGTTGACCATGGGTTGTCAGAAAGTTTGATTACTCGTAGTTCATGAGGAAGTTGAATATGATGCCGAGGAGATTGGACTTCATTCTTTCAGCAGCTGAAACCATTCAAGGAATTTGAGCATGAGTTGAAGGGATTTGGTCATAAAAGGCATATTTGATCCTTCATGTTTGAAAGACAATGTTCACCGTAGTATGAGGTCAGAATGATAAAGGTGAGAGTTGAGTCTGGGAGACTTTCTAGAACGCTGGAGACACAGTGTGGGAGAGACAAGATGGCGTCCGAACTACAGAGGCATGAGTGGAGCTGGAGAAGGAGATGATAGTCAAGTTGAGTCTTAAAAGAAGGCGATTCCCACAGATGGAGAGATAAGGAAAGAACATTTCTGAAGGAGGAAAACTGGAAAAGAAAGTGAAGAGGAGAGATATTTCAGGGGTATATGTGATAGGACTTTATGAGGTCGAGTGCTCACTCAAATCTTGTCACAGAAAACCCATCGGTCTCCCCTGCCAGTGTTGCCCACACACCTGTAATGCCCGAGTGAGTGGAGAAGGCTCTGTGGAAAACATCAAAACCGGACTGGCCCACAGATGTGGGGACAAGGCAGTCCTCAAAGGAGGGCACCCCACTGCAGGTGTTGCTGGACGGTACGATTCTCTGGGAGTCAGGGTAGTGCGGGGGGCAGAACGTCTGCAGCTGCCCATAAAATCCTGAAATGTAAGCAAGCATTGAGTTACTTTAGGGAAAGAAGTTTACCACTCATCTGTCATCTTACTTGGTGGCTTTCGTGTTGCTGTGATGCTGGAAACGATGTCACCAGTATTTCAAACACCAGCAGGGTCACCCATGGTGGACAGGTTTCAGGGGAGCTTCCAGACTAAGACAGAATGGTGAATAAGGACCTGGTGATCGATTTCTCAACAAAAATTGGTCAGTTGTATCAATTTCATCATTGTGCTGGAAAATGAGCCCCTGAGGTTGGAAAGAGATGCCCTCCTTAAAACAGAGTCAACTTTAGTGACTTAGATGGAGCAAAGTTTCAGGAGCTTCATTTGCTAATGTGACAATGCCTCAAAAAGAGAAGAAACAGGGGCAAGCGTCCATTAATGATGGAAACATGGAATGTACAAAGTATGAATCTAGGGAGAGTGGAAGCTGTCAAAACTGAAATGGAACTCTGATTGCTTAAGCTTTAATGAGCTGAAATGGACTAGCACTGACCATTTTGAATCAGATAAACATATAACCTACTCTGCTGGGAAAGACAAATCAAAGAGGAACAGTGTTTTCACTGTCAAAACCAAAAAGCATTACAAGAGTTATCCTGAAGCGCAACACTATCAGTGACAGAATAGTATCTCTCCATCTACATGGAAGACCGGAGCCCTGGTGTGGTGCTGTGGGCTAATGCATCAGACTGCAAAGTCATTTGAAATGCAAGGTCGGTGGTTCACGCTCACGCTGCTCCTTAAAAACCATATACAGGGTCTCTATGGGGTAGAATTGATTCGATGGCACTTTACAACAATAACAAGGAAGACGAGTTAATATGTTTATTATTCAAATTTATCCGGCAACTACTAATGCCAAAGAGGAAGAAGCTAAAGATTTTTACTAATTTCTACACTCTGAAATAGATCAAATATGCAATTAAGATGCACTGGTAATTACTGGTGATTGAAATATGAATGCTGGAAACAAAGAGGAGACATTAGTAGCTGGAAAATATGACCTGGGAGATAGAAATGACACTGAAGATCACATTATGGAACTTTTCAATACCAACAATCTTCATTGTAAATACCTTCATTACAACAACACAGTGACTGTACATGTGGACCTCACCAGATGGAATACAGGAATCAAAGTGACCACGAGACAGCGGAGAAGCTCAATATCACCAGACAAAGTAAGTCCAAGGGTCGACCGTGGCAGACCATCAATTACTCATATGCAACATCAAATTGAAGAGGAAGAAAATTGAAACAAGTCCAGGAGAGGCAAGTATGACCTTAGTATATCCCACATCTGAATTTATACACCATATCAAGAAAAGATTTAACATTCTTCAATAGGGACATTGAACACTAGTGACTGAAGACCAGACAGGTCATGGGATGACATCAAGGACTCATACATGAAGAACCCAAAAGGTCATTTAAAAAACAGGAAAGAAAGAAACAGCCAAAATGAATGCCAGAAGAGACTCTGAAACTTGTTTTTGAAGACAAAGTTGGTAAAGCAAATGGAAGAAATGATGAAGTAAGTAAAAGAACTGAGCAAAAGATTTCAAATGGCAGCTCAAAAGGACAAAGTATTAAAATGAAAATGTCAAAACTTAGTGCTAGAAAACCAAAAGCGAAGAACAGGCTAAATATTTCTTAAACCAGAAGAACTGTAGAAAAATTCAAACCCTGTGTTGCAATATTGAAGAATTCTCGGGGCAAAATATTGAAGGATGCAGAAAGCATCAAAAGAAGATGGAAGTAATACACAGATTCACTGTACCAAAAATAATTGGTGACATTCCACAATTTCAGGAGGTGGCATATGATCAAGAACTGATGATATTGAAGGAAAAAGTCCAAGCTTCACTGAAGGCATTGGAGGGAAAAACAAAGCCCCTGGAATGGATGAAAGCCAATTGAGATGATTTCTGACTCTGCCTTTCACTGCGTCTATTGCTTCAGCTGTAATCTATGAACGCCACTGCCCACTGCCCAGGGCACTGAGCAAGCAGATGAGGAAGTCCACATAGAGTACTTAATTAGCATGTTCTAGTCTGTCTGGTTCTGATGGGAAAGCGGCATTAGTAGGGGAGGTGACCAGATTCCACGGCCATTCAACGATGGAGCACAAGGGACTAGTTTAGAGACTTGAGATCTTAGTCTCGTGTGCCTCCATTTATAGAATTGCCTCTTCTTCCTAAGTTTGGAAGGTTTTATCTTCCCTTGTTAAAGAAACCTGAGGTATCCATCAATAGGTTTAAAAAAAAAGTGTCATCGAGTCAACTCCAACCCCTGGCGACCCCCTGTGTGTCAAAGTAGAACAGTGCTTTTATCCCAAGGTGCCTCGAGATGGACTTGAACCTCCAACCTTTGGGCTAGCAGTCAGCACATTAACTGTATGGTCCACCCAGGGAGTCCATCAAGAGATAGGTAGATGGCCTCTTAGTAAAATGAGGGTACAGGACACAGACAGCCCGCTACGCTCATGGCTCCTCATTAGTTTTCACATGGGAGGCTGTGTAACTGATCAGACGCCTCTTGGTTGGTTGCCATGGAAATCATCAAAGAATATGCCTCATTGCTCCCAAACCTCAACCATGTTCATACTCTTGTACTTGGGAATTTTCTTTCTGAGGATCTATGTTCTGAAGAAGGGTAGAAATTTAGTCCAAAGATCCCTGAATTAGTAATAATGGAACATTGGCGAGACCTCGAGACCACCATGAAAGAAAGGTCCAGTCAACAAAGTTGTGTTACGTTATGAGACTATTCTAATGACATTTACAAGGAGCTCTGAACAACATTGTAAGATCATCATCAAGTTAGTTTTTTTTTTAAAAAAAGCAGGATTATAGTATCGAAGACAGAAGCTAGGCTTTGGGATATGGATAGGTTGTGCGTAGAACACACAGTGTAAGGTGATATCTAGAGTTGCCTTTGACTATTTTTTTACGTTTTTCTGAACTTTAGCAGTGGTGAAGAACAAGGGCTCTGGAACCAGAGGACGTGAGTTCAAACCCTAGCTCAGCTACTTATCAGCTGTATGGTCTTGATAATTACTTTCCCGGTGTCTCCGTTTTCTCATTTGTAAAATGGGGTTAACAAGAAAACCTAAAGTTCACTGCAGAGTCCCGGTGTGGTGTCACAGAATATGCACTGGACTACAAGGACGGTTTGAACTGCAAGGTCAGCAGTTCAAACTTACTAGCTGCGCCTCAGAAACCCTATACAGGGTCACTATGGGTCAGGACCGACTCAATGGCATTTAATAACCACAGTTACAGTTCACTGAGGAGAACTGGTGGCATTGTAGGATAAACACTGGACTGCTAAATGCAAGGTTGGCAGTTCAAACCCTCCAGCTGCTTTGCAGGTACAAAGATGAGGCAGTTTGCCCCTGTAAGGAGTTTCAGTCTCAGGAACCCTTTATACACAGGGTCACTGTGAGTTGGAATCACCTAAGTGCCGGTAGGTTTGCTTTTACATCTCATTGAAGGGAGTTCTGATAGAGCAGTGGGTAAGGTTCAGATGACAACTGAAAGGTCGGCACTTTGAACCCATCTGCCGCTGTGTAGGAGAAAGATGTAGCAGTCAGCTTCCTTAAAGATTTCAGTCTTGGAAGCCCTGGTGCGGAGGTGATGGTGTGGTGTACCACCAAGTTGGTTCCAACTCACAGGGTTTCTGAGGCTGTAAATCTTGACCAGAGCAGAAAGTCTCATCTTTCTCCCGAGGAGCGCCTGGTAGATTTGAACTACCGACTCTGTGTTAGTAATCCACTGACAAAACCCTCGGTGGCAGTTTTACTAAATGTCTTGCAGGAATGCTATGAACTGAAATTAACAGCAATAGGTTTGGGTTGACACTTCACTGTGTTATTATGAAGATTAAATGACATAGTCCTACAATATCATTTAACAACAGAATTAATTTTACAGTAACCAGTGTTTGGGAACTGCAGTGACTCTGTAGAATAAGTGCTGGATTGTGAACTACAAGGTTAGTGGTTTGAGTCCACCAAGCACTCCACGGACAAGGTTTTCTGCTCCAGCAAAGATTTATGGCCTTAGAAAGTCGTGATGAGTTGGAACTGAATTGAGGGTACATAACAACAACAACAAATTCACTGCCAGCTCCCCTCAGGGTAACATTACCTACAAAGATGAGAAGGCCCCTTTCACTGAATTCCCACCGCTCCTCACCAGGCAGCATTAATCTGGCAGCACTTCCGGGACACAACTATAGAGAAATCCACTGGCCTTTGGTGAAAACCAGTTCATTCCTTTTTTGCCACCCTCTTTCCAGCTCCTAAGATTAAGCAGAGATGTCATGTGGCTCAAATCGATGTTGTCAACGGTTGTGAGGAGGTGGCATGTCCCTGGTAATGTTCAGCATCACCCACCACCCGTCTGGGTCTGAGAGAGAAGGGCAGAGGCGTCTGCAATGCCTGCCTGTGGGTGTCTTGGCTTATGTGAGGGACAGTCTGAACCGGCATGGACCCGAGAGCAACTTTTATCCCTCTCAAGGCCAACTCACAGAAAGAAAATCCTCCTTATTAAAACTCTCTCTCCAGAATGAGATGCCAAACACACCAGTGTGGGGAGCTGGGCTCATTGGGACCAAACTTGAACATACTCTCTTCCCATAAAACGAACTCAAGTTCTAAGGAGTCTTTTAAGGTTGTGCCACACACGCAAAGCCAGAGAAACCTGAGCTCATTTTCTGATGAATGGCTCCCTGTATCCCCGTGGCTGCGTTTCATGGAGCAGATTTGGAAAGAACCTTAGCTCTCAGACCCAAAGCAAAATGAGGCAAGATGTTAACACGTTACAAGGACATTAGACTGAAGAGTGACGGCAGGTCATCCAAGCAGCTGGTGAGTCAGCCCCTAAGAGCTACTGCATGCTCACAGGAGGCTGTTGGTGGGACTAAAGAAACATTGTCCTTGGGGACCAATAATGCAGCCCAAGTAGAAACACAGACAT